CTCCTCTCTCTCTCCCCTCCGGTACAGCACCATAAGACGTAGTGTGGAGTTGCATTAGGTAACGCGAGATACGGCTGCTACTTGCGCATTAGTTTCTGTTATGGATCAGTATCAACAGTCCTGCCAGTAACGTTACTATATTATCAATACCACTTTAGTTATAGCCTGATATATGATAGCTAACTTTACAATGTTGTGATGTGACTGACGTTAGCTAACATTAACGGCCCGTCCACACTACAGCTTCGACAGCTTCAAAAACGGTTTCCAACACTTTTCGCCGAACTGCATTGTGGGAAGCAGAGCGGAGCTTTCCTGGCGTTTCAGGCTGCAAAAGTTGAGCAATGTTCAACTTTTGAAGCTTCTGAAGCTTTCGGTGGAAGCGTCAGCCAATCAAATCATATGCCAGTACAAGCTCTAGCCAATCAAACCGCTGCTTGTGTGTCAGGGGCGGGAGTTTCATGTGATTGGTTGTTGGTCGAGCTTCAGACACGCCGAGCTCCAAGCTTTTTTTGAAGCTGTAGTGTGGACGGGCCGTAACTGTAGCTAACGCCGGTCACTCACCAAGACAGCTGCCCTGTTCTCCACTGGTTCTCCTCACACCACAGCTCCGTTTCTCTCCGATGGCCGTTATTCCTTCTAATCCTTGGCTGCTCCTGGTCTCTTGGACGCCTAGCAGGCTCATAATTATAAGGTTGTGGTCCTTCATATGCATACGAATACTCATGTTCAACCTCTTCTGGGTCAAAACTAGCATTGTGATCCATGTTTATTAACACGTTAGACCGGCCGCTCTCCCCCATGTGACGTCACACGCGGTTGGTCTTTTTTTATGCGGAAGTAAAAATGTAAAAATGTCTGTCCAGATGTCACTGTTGTGTATATTTCTGTATATTTAAAAAAAAATCTAGTGTGTACATCATTTTCCTGCACATTTATTCACTGGGGGCTCTAACCTGCAAGTTGCTCTTTAACCTAATAAGAAAGTGGAGAAAACGTAATATATGGGACATTTTTATGCATAGATTTGTTAAGGCACATTATACTAAATCTAAAAATTAATTTTCATTATGAATGTGCAGTTGTCATTTAAAGGTGATGTGGACTTCTTGTTATTTACTTTATTTCAAGTAGCAGGTCATGATAAATGTTCTTACTCATCTGTAATTTGTCATTTTGATTGTACACAAGCTTATACAAACAGATAATATCCAGTTATACACCAGTGCAAACTCCCGCCTCAATAATACACATATAGTTAAATGAATACATCTCTGAAAGTATTGATCAAAACTGAACCTTATTATCTTTGAAAAAGATTTGTTTTCCTCACATTCAGCTAATAATAAAGTGGAGAAAATGTCATATATGGAACATTTTCTTGTCATATTTGTGATAAAAACCCATTTTTACTCTGCATGTCAGGAGGAGGATGAGAAGGAGAGGCTGAGCCAGGTGAACGATCTGCAGGAGGAAGATTTTGGAGACAACACGGAGCCTCTGGAGGATTTACTCCTCGGGCTGAGCGTCGGGGAGGTAGGAAACATCACGTAATGAGATACGTCCCTCAGAGAGAACAGAGAGCCATTATCGTCTCACGTCAGATTATATTCCCTCTCTCTGGTAACTCGAGCTGCACACAGACAACACTTGAGTTAGTCCTCCTGTTCCTCACATGGAGAGAAGCATCTTGGTGTGGAAGACATATAAAGCAGGGAGGATTTGAAACGTGTTTTTGTGACTTTGAACTAGGGCTGCTCAATTCATTTTTTATTTTATTGAAATGAACCGAAAAGTGTTTTGATAAAATGCTTGTTTCTGTAAATAATTGTTGCAGCTGTAACGAGAAAGAAAGCATATACAAACATGGTTTGTTTGTAGCTGCACATCAGTTTAATTATCTAAAGGAAGCTGTCAAATGCCCTGTGCTTCACTGCTGGATAGGGCTGCTCAATTATTACTATTTTAATCGCAATTACGATTTTTGCTTGCAATGATTACGAAAATAACGTAACCGAAATAAAACGATTATTTTTTTTAATTGGTTTTTTCAGTTGAATTATACTTAAAGTTCAGGGTAATCAACTGTTAAAAACATACTGTTCAAATAAATTGATGTTTTCAAAGTAAATGGATAATCGTTTTTAATAATCGTGATATGAATTATTGACCCAAATAATCGAGATATATATAATTATTTTTTTTGGGAGGGGTGCCTAAGTTGATTAGATATTATCAAATGGAATAATTCAATGTATACGACAGCGCCATAGCTAAGTGTGTTAGGTCTAAAGGTGTGTGTTGCTCCGCTCACCGGTCCCTCGCAGCGGGCAGAGCTGCAGGTGCTGATCTCTCTTTCGCGTCCGGTTATACTTCACTCACGTTTACGTCCAAATCCATCAGACCTAGCGAGTTCGAGCTAACGGTACGGCTGCTGCCCCTCCCTACACGCAGATCACGCAGACTCAAACCTCATCTTATGCCCACATTCCAGCTGAGAGGGAGTTTATGGTTTTTGCCATAATCGAGCAGCCCTACTTTGAACCCTACTGAACCTTGGTTGGAAAGTATATAATTAAGCACACATTTTGAGCTACTTGTACTTTACCCGACTCCTTTCTCCTTTACTTTATTTCAGAGTAAAATATTGTTTTTTGTATATTTGTTTTGACCCTACTTGACATATTTGACACCTTTTTAGTTACTTTAAAAAGTGAGATTGTGCTTTTTGCAGAATGATTAACTCCAAAAGAGATTTATAAGTAGAAAAGTAAAATATATAATAATAATAATACATTTTATTTCAAAGCGCTTTTCCAGGTGCTCAAAGACACTTTACAGTGGTTTGATAAAACATGATAAAATAGAATAAAGAATAGAAATACAAAATAAATAAATATTAAAACAGCAACACAGCATTCACAAATTAAAAGCCAGTCTGAAGAGGTGTGTTTTGGTCAGTGTTTTGAAAGTGGGGGGGTCATGAGCATTATTATCATATGAAACAAAAACATTTCTTATTAGTTTCTTATTTACATTTATTTTTACTTGTTATTATTTCTTTTGCCAAATGTAGCTTTTGTTTATCTTGAAATCATATATGTTTTTATTAATCTTCTTTGTATAAAAAGTGCTATATAAATAAAGCTTTAAAACAAAAGCTGGATGATTGCACTCATTGGATTGAATAGCAACAGCTAAAGGAAGTATAAACTCCGGGCGCTGTACGATAGCTGCTCCTGGTACAGGGCTGGGTGAGAAGCAGAGGTCCAATTTCACTGTGTGCTGTGTGCATGTATGTGTGACCTTTAAAGGTCACCTATTATGCAAAATCCACTTCTCCATGTCTCTTCTACATCAACATGTGTCCCCTCTTCTCCATGTCTCCTCTACATCAACATGTGTCCCCTCTTCTTCATGTCTCTTCTACATCAACATTTGTCCCCTCTTCTTCATGTCTCTTCTACATCAACATGTGTCCCCTCTTCTCCATGTCTCTTCTACATCAACATGTGTCCCCTCTTCTCCATGTCTCTTCTACATCAACATTTGTCCCCTCTTCTCCATGTCTCTTCTACATCAACATGTGTCCCCTCTTCTTCATGTCTCTTCTACATCAACATCTGTCCCCTCTTCTTCATGTCTCTTCTACATCAACATGTGTCCCCTCTTCTTCATGTCTCTTCTACATCAACATGTGTCCCCTCTTCTTCATGTCTCTTCTACATCAACATGTGTCCCCTCTTCTTCATGTCTCTTCTACATCAACATGTGTCCCCTCTTCTTCATGTCTCTTCTACATCAACATGTGTCCCCTCTTCTTCATGTCTCTTCTACATCAACATGTGTCCCCTCTTCTTCATGTCTCTTCTACATCAACATTTGTCCCCTCTTCTTCATGTCTCTTCTACATCAACATGTGTCCCCTCTTCTCCATGTCTCTTCTACATCAACATGTGTCCCCTCTTCTTCATGTCTCTTCTTCATCAACATGTGTCCCCTCTTCTTCATGTCTCTTCTACATCAACAGGTGTCCACTCTTCTTCATGTCTCTTCTACATCAACATGTGTCCCCTCTTCTTCATGTCTCTTCTACATCAACATGTGTCCCCTCTTCTTCATGTCTCTTCTACATCAACATGTGTCCCCTCTTCTTCATGTCTCTTCTCCATCAACATGTGTCCCCTCTTCTTCATGTCTCTTCTACATCAACATGTGTCTCCTCTTCTTCATGTCTCTTCTACATCAACATGTGTCCCCTCTTCTTCATGTCTCTTCTACATCAACATGTGTCCCCTCTTCTTCATGTCTCTTCTCCATCAACATGTGTCCCCTCTTCTTCATGTCTCTTCTACATCAACATGTGTCCCCTCTTCTTCATGTCTCTTCTACATCAGCATGTGTCCCCTCTGTGGAAAGAGACTCTGAAAGTTTCAGGAATAAAGATTCTCTCTCTTTTTGATCCATTTCTATAAAAACCTGTCTGAAAATGAGCTGATCAGATTTTGGCCATGTTATGATGTCATAACGATGTTTTGTCTTGTGTAACCATTAGCCAATCAGCAACCAAGGTAATCCCCCCCCCCCCCCCCAGAGTAAGTAACAGACAGAGAATCAGCACTTTGGAAACAGGGCTGAAACAGAGGGGATTATGGGTAATGCTGCAATGATCTGATTGGTGTTTCAGCCAATCAGAGACAGGCTCTGTATATATCTGAGACCTGTGATATATTGATGAGAAACAGTATGATAGGGGACATTTTTAAAGAGGGTTTCATCCTCCAAATCTATCTATGAAAGTAAACTATAAGAACATATTTACTCTTTCTCTTCCAGCCTAACCTCAGCACCCACGGCTCCCTGCACTCTTTAGACACTGACGTGGTGGCAGGCAGCCTCCTGGACCCCTATAAGGAGAATCTGAGGAGAGTTCAGTCCACAGACAGCCTGGGGTCCTCTCTCTCCGTGCAGCAGGGCCTCGGGGGACACAACCACAAAGCCAAGTCAGCCAGCAACCTGGACGAGTCTGACTTCGGACCCCTGGTGGGGGCCGACTGCGGGGCCACGGACAGCAGCTTTGGGGACACGTTGTCCATCAGCTCCATGAAGCTGACGGCCAGCCACTTCCTGCTCACTAAAGACCAGGAGAAAGCCATCAAGGCGATGACTCCGGAGCAGGAGGAGACGGCGTCGCTGCTCTCCAGCATCTCCCACGCCCCCGACAACGCTTATCTGCCGCCGGGGGGGTACAGGCTCGTCAGTGACAGCGAGTGGAACCTCCTGCAGCAAGAGGTGGGTGTGTTTTCACTCTGTATTTAGATCTATTCTTGGGAGAAGACAGACATTTCACTTATTAATGCTCAATCAGGGGTGTCCAAACTACCATTTTGAATCGGGCCTCAGAAAATTCTAAAAGTATAATGAAATATAGCCCACAAATGAAACTTGTGCTTTTCTTATATTGTACCTCTTAAATATGTGTGTACAAATATATTACACAGTAGCATTCATGTGTTAATGAGACCACTTTTAAAATAAATTCAGTCAATTAAAGTTGTTTTCTTAAAGCATATTCATGTATCAAGCCTAATTTACCTTCATGTTGCTAACTTATAACTTAACTTACGAGGCGATATACCTCACCTCTATAAGTGGCTCAGCCCTTCGTATATATTTCTGTATGTGGCTCTCGGTGAAAAAAGTGTTGACACCCCTGATCTAAATAAATCGTCAAAATGCCAGACCCAAGATTTATTTTACACTACTAGATAATTATTGTTAAAATTGTTTCATGGTGTGTTTGCTGCAGCAAGAGGTGGGTTAACGAGGATGAGTTTAAGGCCCCATTTACACGGAGACGCAAACAATATAAAAAAAGTCTTCCGTTCACACGAGACCGCTCGACCTGCTGGAGACGCTGTAGTACATATGCCGGGCCTGTAAGTGGCGCTGTACTTCCGCCACAAAATACACCAAAAGCAGCGAAAAAGACCTCCCAAGCATGGTTGCCATGGTTGCCTGGTTGCCCTTCTGTTTTTTTCGCCGGTCAACATGTCCGTTAAAGTTGAAATGTTCCAGACAAAATTAGAAAAGTGCCGTTCAAAGGTCTTCTTTGTTATTTATTGAGCTTTAAAACAAATTGATAACGACACTATATAATAATATAATAATAATAAACGGAGCCTCTCTTTTCCTCCCTCTCTCTTGACAGCCCGTCAGTATCCGTCTCATGCAGCTGGCTGATCCAGTAATGAGTGACCCGACAGTACAAATAAACATATTTATAACTAGTTTAAGTAGTTTGAGAGGTAATTAAAATAGCTAAGGGTGATGATCTTGAAGTGTGTGTTTTGTTCCGCTCATCGCTCCATCACAGCGGGCGGAGCTGCAGGTGATCATGCAGAGCTGCATGTCTCCGTCAGCAGCAGTTGATCTCTGATCTCTCTCTCCTGTCTGTTTAGACTTCACTCGTGTTTATGTCCATATCGATCAAATCTAGCTGGAAGGTCCTGCTGCCCTGCGAGACACCGGGACCTGACTTGAAACACTCGGTTGTTGTTGTTGTTGTTGGCGAAACACATCAACAATGACAATTGACACGGGGGTGAGCAGGAGAGGCGGGGCTATGGCGTATCAGGCGTACACACGGAGCCGTTTGCCCCCCCAAAGCGTTTGTTTGAGGGGTCCGTTTCCGCTGTTCCGTCACGGCCTCGTGTGAACGAACCGTACTCTATACCAGTGCTTCTCAAACTTTTTTCAGTAATGTTCCCCCTTTGAAACATTTTCTCAGCCAAGTACCCCCTGACCGATCCAGAACGTTTTTGGTCGAAAAAGCCTATATAAATAATTACAATATAGTGATGTTCCCTCAGTGTGTGATGTATTAACTCCTTCGTGGTATGCATTACAACAAACTAAGGATATTTTCACTTTATGCATGAAAAAAAATAACATAACACTTTTATAAAATAGATTTTTCCAAGGAGTTTTTCAATTTAAGTAATATGTTATTGTGAAAAACTATCAAATACAATACACACATTTGACATGTTTATATGAGGACCCCCTTGGTGGTTCTAGGAATGTTTTATATACAATTGTGTTTTCTATTTAACTTATTTTACTAAGATTATTTTTTTAATTAACCTTTTTTTTTTTTTTAATCTCGCGTACCCCCTGCAGTACCCCAACGTACCCCCAGGGGTCCGCGTACCCCCATTTGAGAATCACTGCTCTATACGATGGAAAAAGTAGCAGATACAACCCGAACTGTCTCCATGTAAACGGGGTCTAATAGATAAGATAAGAAAGGACTTTATTTATCCCGAAGCCAGAGTTACAAAAATACAATAAACACAGCAGCATGAGAGAGAGTTTGAATGACCCAAGATTTCTTTTACATAACCAGATAGGTATTTTTAAAGTTGTTTAAGGGTGTGTTTGTGGTCACCAGGTGAAAAATGCTGGCAGGCAGCTTGGCAGACGCTGTGACATGTGCTCCAACTACGAGAAGCAGCTGCAGGCCATCCAGGGACAAGAGGCCGACACTCGAGACCAGGTTTGTGTCTTTGCTGTCACCTCGTGTCTTTTATTTACTACTAGAAAATACAACCAGGGATGGAGCTTTGTGATGTGTGGATTTCAGCAAAGAGACAGTGTGAACATCTGTTTAAAAGATAGACTACACACAGCTGCATTCAAGCTTTAAACATATACAAACAAACAAGAGGAAGATATATTACATTTAGCTGATGCTTTGTAAGATAACTCGATGACCAATCTAGCGTCAAAATGTTCATTATCGTAATTTTCCGTCTTCGTGTCCCGCAGGTGAAGAAGCTGCAGGTGATGCTGCGTCAGGCCAACGATCATCTGGAGAGAACGATGACGGAGAAACAGACTCTGGAAGACTCGGTCAAAGTGGGCAACGAGGAAACTGCTGCTAAGGTTTGGACACAGGGAATGCATTAAAGAAACTGCATGATGATGATGATGATGATGATGATGATGATGATTATGATGATGACTGTTGACCCTCCCGGAGCCGTTTTAAATCAACTTTAGGAGTAAGCGAGCGCGCAGAGACCCAGAGATACTTACTTTGATCTGATTTAAAACATTAATTTTGGATTTTTTTTTAAATACTAATATACATAATATATATATATATATATAATATATATAATACTAACTAATATTTGACACATTTTTGCAGTTTAAGTTATTCTACAAATCATGATTGCACATAAAATGCAGTTGTAGCTCTCTCCATGCTTCAAACACGGAATATGTTGTGATTATTTCCATATTTGGGACTTTTTACTTCTCCAATTCATCTGAGAGGCAACTATTGTTCTTGTTTCCTCCATGTATGTAATGTGAGAGCTGCATAATGAGTACTTTAAGTATATTTTGATGCCAATATTTAGTATTTTCATTTGTATTTGAACACTTGTTACCTAAGAACAAGACTTCTTTTACCTCTGAGTATTTCTATCTTTAATCTCAGACACTTCGTTTTTATTGTGTTTCGTTTTTTGTTAAAATAATGAACCGACAAACAATATGAAAGCAGACAGGGTCATCCTGGGTAAAAAGAAATGCTTACTATGTTGTAGAAAATATTATACATAATATACATACATACAATGCGTACTTGCACACACATCTATACAATCGTATACACATTTATCTTCTTAGATGCTCCAACAGTATATGCATACGTGTATAGAAGAGAATAAGGAGGGATGAAACCCTCGTTAATGGTCTCACATGCAGAGCACACACAGTGACATGTGTCCTCTGCATTTAACCCATCCTAGCACCAGGAGTCTAGTTCTAGGAGCAGTGGGCAGCTATTGTACAGCGCCCGGGGAGCAATGGGAGTGGGGGGGGAAGGAGGATGTCCGGTGCCTTGCTCAAGGGCACCACGACAGGGGGTGAGCTGGGACCTCTCCAAGTAGCAGTCCACACTCCATATTTTAGGTCTGGTCGGGGACTTGAACCGGCGACCATACAGGTCCAAGCCCCGACTGACTGAGCCACTGCCGGACATATACATATTTAGCGTGTAGCGCTAACAAAGGCAGGGTTACATCACACTATCAGGGTCTTTGGGCCACCTTTTAAATTCTAGGTCTATGATTCTTCCATTTACAAATGAAGTTCGGTTTATTTGGTCTTACTACAGGGTTAAGTAACGCACATCTTCAAAACACAGCAAGTAGGTGATGGGACATCTCAGACCTGTTTTAATGTATTTGAGCAAGACTTCTTCCACCTCTGAGTATTCCTATCTTTGATCCCAGACCTTTTTAAAGCCTTTTTCTTATTTTAGCGATGTTATTGTCTGTGTTGTAGGCGTCCGCCCTCATGCAGCGGGTGCAGGATTCGGAGACGTTGCTGTGCGCGCTGCAGCAGGCCTTCAGTGACGCTAAGAGGAACACACAGCAGCAGATGGTGAGCAGCGTCTTCTCCCCGCCTCGTCGTTGCTTGTTCTCGCCAGCTGTGTTTGGATCTCCAGTTCCTCCCTAATGTCAGTCTGATAATGTTGGCGAGGCTGAAGCTCTTATAAAAAGCATATCAGGTTTTTGTTTTGACAACAGGCTCCTGCGCTGTTATCTGACATGCAGCCAGACTCATTTGAAGCTTGTTAGTGGTTTGGATTTACTTTTCTCTGCCTCTCTTGCTTCTTATCACACAGGTAGAAGGTTGTTGGAGGAGATTCCTTGTAAAACTGTCCAAACATTGCTCATTAACCACAACAGAAATTATCAAATGTATACACTGTACATCACTGATAAAAAGTAGGTGTAAATGTACGTTATTTACACATTTCTGCAGTTTTTTTTAGCTTATTTTCAAGAAATGTATGTTTATCTCTGGTAAACACTACATTTCAAACACTGACTTTTTAATACATTGTGAAAATGGCAACCATATATTCTAAATACTCATTTTAAAACACAGATTTACAGTAAAGCGAATGTTAGGGCTGACCCCTGGTTGTCGATAGGTTGACCAATTAGTTGCTTCATTAGCCTAAAGACCTTTTTCATGCTTTTTCCATGATTAATAACACATTTCCAGGGTACTTATAAGTGCATGAGTTAAACACAACATTCACAGTGGTGCTTTTCATGATTTCTTTGTCGGGAAAACAAGATTATAAATAAATTGTTAGGATTAAAGTTTGATAAAGTGCCATAAATGTATATATATGAGTAATTGCCATATGTGTTGCTAGGTAAACTAAGTATAAACTAAATAATGCATTGAGAAAATACCCATAAATAATTATATCAAACACAGAAAATCTTAACATTTTAGACGCATATCACAAAATATATAAGTCATCCATGTTGTCTTTTAGATTTTCTCTCTAATGGAGGAAGATAGACAAAATATTGACTTTTTGGGGTAAAAGTTACCAGCTTTTTGAGATTGAACTATTCCTCCCTACCACACATATTTCCTCTAGGCTACGGGATTTAATCACTTACAAAGATTACGTTTAATAAGCCCAAACATTGCTCCTCCCCCACGACAAATCCTACAGATTGACTTACTGTAAACCACTGAAGAAAAATGCAATATGCACGGCTAAGTAAAGTAAGTGCACTTATTATTTCTAGCCCATCATTGTGAGGGAAAAACAGGAAGGAAGGAAGTGAGAAACATTCTCAATAATGAATGTGCAGCTGCAGCGGGATCTCTAATCCTGTGCAGACAATCTCTCCTGCCAGAAAACACGAGACCTTCCTGCTGCTGCTGCTGCATGTGGCTTTGATTTAAAAACCTTAATACCGTCATGCATCGAGTCATAACGTTACACCCAATCTAATCCAACTATATTTATATAGCACATTCAAAAACAACAGAGTTGACCAAAGTGCTGTACATCAATAAATATATATAAAAAAGCATATACCGGTACATACATTTAGTCAAAAACCGATAGGGCAAAAAGAAACTAATGTAAAAGCACGAGACCATAAAACCATACTTATAGCCACAGACTGGGTGTTTCTCAATGTCGAGGAAGGATGCTCCAGAGCCACTATTTCAAGGATGCTATCGAGTCCCGCCGAAGGACTGTTCCAATGTCCAGCATACTTGGAATTCTTCCGAGGCCGGCGTCCTTCGTTGCGGGAAATTTCGAGGCTGCACATGTGTATCCTCCGCGGTCTTAAAATCCCCACAATGCTTTGCGCGCGGACCACTTTCAAATTGCGCTCCATTTAAGGCGGGGCCTCGCGTATGACGCACACCTGTTAGCTTGTTTCACCGTTCTTCGTTTTCCGAGGCTAGGAAGGATTCTTGCCTCGCTTCTGAAGGAGCTGACTCGGAGGAACATGTGCTACCAAGGAAGCGTCCTCGACATTGAGAAACACCCTGAAAGCCCTCATACATGATGTAACAACAAGGGCCGGGACTTTAACGCGTTAATTAAGATTAATTAATTACACAAAAATTAACGCGTTAAAAAAATTAACGCATTTTAATCGCACTTATTTTTGCACCGCGGAACGTTTCTCACTGAATGAGTTTCAGGCGTACCGATTATACTGGAGCACCAACTAACGTTCATGACTTCAGACAACAACAAACCACAGTGAACAACAGTGGGAAATGTTGTTTTAAAAAACGGACGGATGGAAGCGTCGATAAGAGCACGGTTGTGTGCAAATTATGCAAAAAGGAATTCGCATATCACCGCAGCACATCAAGCCTCAAGTATCACCTCAATGCAAAACATATAGCAGCTAGCGTGGACGTTAGCCTCTTTTATCGCGTTCACACCAAAAAGAGCCGGTACTAAAATTAGTTCATGAGAACCTTTTTACCCCCACGAAAGTCCCTGCTAGAGAGCAGAGAGCTGCTAGAGAGCAGGGACTTTCGTACGGCTCTCTTGTGAGAAAAGAGCTATATTTCTGATTGGCTGGGCGGATTGCAAACCACGCCCCGTAAAACTCCCAAAAAGTTTGGTGAAGCCGCCATTTTATTATCCTCGCATTAGCATTATTAGCATTAGCCCAGCGCAGAAACGCAGAGAGACTAACTTATGGCAACACAAAATAAAACATGGGAGCGGTGGAGATGAGGAGGTGTCGGCGTTCTGGCGATTTACTCGGAAGGCTGCTGGGAGTCCCAGCAGCTTCTACTGAAGCCAGTCCCCAACTCCGGGGACTTCCGGCCGGGGACTTTGGGCGGCAGTATACGCCGTAAAGTGGTTTGCGGCCTGCCAGTAAACCCAAAGCAGAAGAAGAAGAAGTGACGTCAGCGGCTTCATTTGTTCTCATGAACTAAGTTCTCATGAACCTTTGTGGGAAAAGTACTGCGGTGTGAATGCGCCTAATGGTATACTAAAATCCATGTGAAAAAAATTGCTTCTCACTGTTCTTAGGTCAAATATTTATATGTGATTAAAAATGCGATTAATTTCGATTAATTAATTACAAAGCCTCTAATTAATTAGATTAATTTTTTTAATCGAGTCCCGGCCCTAGTAAAAACATTTTAAAACACAACTAAATAGAAAACCCCAATTTAGAAAACACAGACTGATACGTCTTATACGTGGTCTGCAAAAGCACGGGAGAACAAGAAGGTCTTTAAACGAGATTTAAAAACCGGCTAAGTGGGAGCAAGTCACCCAGCAGAGGGAAGGCTCTGCAGGGACAATCAGATACTAATATAATAATAATACACTTTATTTATACAGCCCCTTTCATGCTTGACGCAGCCCAAAGTGCTTCACAGAGTATGACAGAAAATAACAATAACAAGTGAGGAACATCATTCAAATATGTTAAAACCTGCCGTACTGACATTTATTGTTTATTATTGACATTTTTGTTTAAGCTGACTGGTTTTCTATTTATTTGCTTATTTTTTGTCTGTGTGTCTTCTGTCTGTGTGTCTTCTGTCTGTGTGTCTTCTGTCTGTGTGTCTTCTGTCTGTGTGTGTCTGTCTGTCTGTCTGTGTGTCTTCTGTCGTTGTCTTCGGTCTGTGTGTCTGTCTGTCTGTTCTGTCTGTCGTCTGTGGTCTGTCTGTCTGTGTGTCTTCTGTCTGTGTGTCTGTCTGTCTGTCTGTCTGCGTGTCTGTGTGTCTGCCTGTCTGTGTGTCTGTCTGTCTGTGTGTCTGCGTGTCTGTGTGTCTGTCTGTCTGTGTGTCTGTCTGTCTGTGTGTCTTCTGTCTGTGTGTCTGTCTGTCTGTGTGTCTTCTGTCTGTGTGTCTGTCTGTCTGTGTGTCTGTCTGTCTGTGTGTCTGTCTGTCTGTCTGTGTGTCTTCTGTCTGTGTGTCTGTCTGTCTGTGTGTCTGTCTGTCTGTCTGTCTGTCTGTGTGTCTGTCTGTCTGTGTGTCTTCTGTCTGTGTGTCTGTCTGTCTGTCTGTCTGTCTGTGTGTCTTCTGTCTGTGTGTCTTCTGTCTGTGTGTCTTCTGTCTGTGTGTCTTCTGTCTGTGTGTCTTCTGTCTGTGTGTCTTCTGTCTGTGTGTCTTCTGTCTGTGTGTCTTCTGTCTGTGTGGTGTTAAGCAGTATTTACATTGTTACTCTACCTATTTTTCTATAAAGGGAACATTTGTTTACCTACTTTTGATACATGCTCTGATAGAATAACTGTATGCTGTTTAAAAACCCAATAAACAAAGTTGAAACTATATATATATATATATATATATATGTTAAAACAATAAAACATGAATAGTAATACTACTAAAAATGATAAGCCAAATTAAAAAGATAGGTCTTTAATTTACTTTTAAAAATGGCAATTAATGCAGTCTGATCTGAGTCACTCTGCTGCACCATGTGTCGACGTTTTCTTAAATGTGAAAAGATTCAAGGCTTTTATTGTCGTGTGTGTATAGCTACAGTGCAGTTATGTCAATACAAATCTTAGGTCACAGGCTCCTCTAACAGTGCAACACAATAAAACAGATAAAATAGTGCAAGTAAATACAATAAAAATAGAATAGAAGTAGTGCCATAAGAGTCTATATACAAGTGATAAATAAAAATGAATGAAAATGTAACTATAATATTAGACATATGAAGAAGTTACATTTTAAACATCCATGACTTAAAGACTTGATCCAGGATCAAAGCCACAGAGCTGCACCTGCAAGGTGAATACAGCTGGTAACAGAAAAAGTGTTTGAATGCGTACATTAACAGGTTTATGATATCACTGCCCCGTCTAAGACACGATCTGACTTTAATTACATTTGTCTCGAGTGTTTCGTCAACTTAATGTGTTGCTTAAAATAATACTTCTGCATACAGTATGTGACATTGTGAGTGTTGCACGGCCAGATACGGCTCAGCTGACTCAGATAAGGAGATATATGATGCATTATGAAGTGATATGCCGCGGACTGTACTTAATGTTACTCTGATCCGGTTACTTATGTTGTGGCAGATATTTAAGTAAGCTTTCTTAACGCTAATGTTATAATAGTCAGATTGCTCTGAAGATGGAGCTGATATTCTAGTAATGTTCACGTTCACACAGTCGGTGATTTTTGCCGGCGGTCTTTCCTGCGACGGCAGCTTTTCTGTATTTCCTTTCTCCTGTAATATGACTTGATCGCTTTAAACTCCGCACACTGAGCTCTGATTGGTCAGCAGGCAGTGCTTTCACTGAGTTGATCTCTTAGCTCGCTAAGCGAAAATCCGGCTTCGTAGTACAGGCCTCAGGTGAATGTTATGGATATTCTTAGTTCAGGTGTTTAAGTAAGTAAAAAGTAAGTAAAATGTGGGCAAGCCACGTGTTAAGAAGTGCTGAAAACACAATACACAGTAAAACATAGGATGAAATAGATAAATAATCTAATAAAAGCACACAGGTTACCCAAGCGCCTGTGTGTCTTTAACAGTCTTTTTGCCTGTGGGAAAAAGGGAAACGAGCTGTAACGGAGGTGATCTCTGGGCCCATAGATCTCAGCCTCCGTTACGGGTAATATAGCACTAAAAACATTGCACAGGAAGCAGGGGAATATATGTAATTTATGTAACTAGTTTGTCTGTCTCTGTTTCATGTTAAAAGTGTTCCCCTTCCCCCATGTTTGTGGCTGTTGATTGTGTGCACCTGGTGCCCTGTGTTGTCTCCTCCCCCCCACCTGTGTTGAATTGCTGATTGGTGTGTGTATTAGGGTCTGTTGCCCTGTCTGTTTTGAGGCTGGTAGTGTGTGTGAGATCCTTGTGGCTGTGCTGTGCTCAAGGAAACAACAGCAGGATTAAGGCTGTGTGTGTCATTGTGTTCATGCTGTAATAAATGCCCACACCGGGTTGTATTTTGGACGTTCTGCCTCTGCCTCCTTGCTTGGTCGGTCCGCTCAATTGTCAGCTTCACACGAGCAGAGACACGATGAGCTGCAGAGATTTATTTATTTAGTGTGTTGGTTTGTTGGTTTCAGGCGGTGCTGGTGAAGTCGAGGGAGCAGGTGGCCGACGAGCTGAGCCGTCTGCAGAGAGACAACGAGAGCCTGCAGGGGAAACACCGGCTGCACGAGGAGCTGCAGCAGCAGGAGGACTTCCAGATGCCCAACACTGTGCAAGTACGGAGATAACACTCAATTCAACATCGTATAGGAAGTAGGGCTCAACGTTGTCTTTCAACAGATCAATATATGTAAAAATGGTCTTTCAACAGACCAGAATATGTAAAAATAGTCTTTCAACAGACCAATATATGTAAAAATAGTCTTTCAACAGACCAATATATGTATCTAAAAGTGTTAAATCACATCGTCATCAAGGGTGCTTGTATTTAGTAAATATTGCTCTTGCGGATATTTATCAAGAGATTTTCGTGCAGCACGCAGATCTTTTATTCCACCTTTAGACTTTTATCGTGAAACATCTTCAAAAAGTGCGGGTGTCATTATGCTTCATGTAGATAAAGGTAAGTTGTGATGTATGGCACATTTCAACACGAGGCACTTCAGTGCTCTACAAATAAACGTCACACTGCTGGAGAAACTGTGAGAATCTAAATGCAAATGATGTCCATGTTTTTCTACGATTGTTCTGATATATTAGATTCTTGAAGAAGGAGCAAAATGCCTTACAAAAAAGACTCATACCTCAAGAATGAACGAAAGAGACATCATTTTTAAACACATTGCTTGTTGCCGGTAAAAAAGGCTTTTACGAGGAAGTGGTTATAGCATGAGAACCTAACTCTAACTCCTAACCTACTCTAGGGGGGTCCGGGAGATTTTTTTTTTTTTAAATGTTGAAGTTAAAAGCATCTATCTGGTGCACTTTGAGAGCAACATGAAGAGATCTATGGATACATCTCTCAACATCCAGATGAAACAGAACTGTAAGAACTGTTTTTCTTTATGGATATTTTACAAATCACTCTCCAAACTCTATCCTTGTTTATTAATAACAACTTTTTTTTACTGTCATATAGTATTTTATACCTGTTTACTTTATTCTCTTGTTTTTTTATAACTATAATGATCATATAAAGATGTGCCTTTACCTCACTGGTTGTAGAAAAAGCTTCTTATATTCGTTAGCATAGCTAGCTAACCAGATGCTAATAACAACAAAGTTATTGACTGTATGATCAGTGTGACAGATGAACAGATCGCCACTGGGCTTTCAGCTAAAGACACAGACACGCAAACACTGCGGCATGTGTACGGCTCCTTATCTGAAGTGCCGGAGCCGCGTTCTGGTGCTCTCCGTCAGAACTACACCCCAGTCAGACGAGACATACACGTTAGGCTCGTGTTGTGTTCAAGGACCCTGACCTTGGCCAGGAAAAACAGGCACTCGCTTGTTTAATTATTTTGCGGTCTAGATTTCTTTAATTATTTTCTTTTTTGCGTGTGTTTATAAATTACCTCGAGGGCCGTACCAAATGGTCTCGCGGGCCGTATACGGCCCGGAGGCCGGAGGTTCCCCACCCCTGCCTTAAAGGGAAGATGGACATATTTACAAATATATCTCTATTGAGAGGCGAAGTCCCTCCCTTTCCTCCATGGGACCTTATTTCGGAAAAAGTATGTATTGAAGTCAATGGAGAGAGAAAGATTATCTTTCGATCCCGTTTGAATTGTGCCATGAATTACACATAAGATGTTTGTCAATTTAAAAGATAATTTTGCAAGTCAAACAAATAAAATGTGTCGTAAAACTGTGAAGTAACACTTGTTTTTGTGTGAACCGCTCAATGAACTACATCTCCTGTCTCGCACCACACACCAAGACGGCCGTCACGTTGAAACATTTCACTTCTTTCTCTCAGAATGAGGCGGAAAGTATTAAAAGAGGTGAAAATCACTCCAAGTCTGGGCACGTTGAGAGCTGTACATACACACAAGGGGAGTTAGTCGGTTCCGTGAGAGCCAGCAGGCGGGACCGGGACTCTGGGATTTGTAGTCTTTCTAGTTGCGTATTTTTCATAGTCTTATATTTCAACAGTTTTACGACAAACTGTGACTTTTTTGACATGGAAATTATTTTTTAAACATCATATGTGTAATTCGTGGCACAATTCAAACGGGATCGAAAGATAATCTTTCTCTCTCCATTGACTTCAATACATAATTTTCGGAAATAAGGTCCCATGGAGCTCCCCCGGAAAGGGAGGAACTTCGCCGCTCTATTGAAATCAGTCGGAAGTCGCAACGGCTCATTTCAAAATAAACGTGGATTTGCGTAAAAAAACTATATTTTCGGGGTTCGGGTGTTTTGTTTGATTTTAAATAAACAAAGTCTTGGCTTTCAGAATATGAAACTTTTATTTCCAAAATCACACGATAAATACATGTTTGAAGCTTGTAAAGGGAAGAACACAGCTGGCCTCTCACTCGCCACTCTCCTCTTCCGCAGCGCCGCCCCCCCTCCCTCCGCTGACATTATGAATGTAAGCGTATAGTAATCATAGATAACACGGCAGGGTCCGTTACAGTTTGTTTTCATCTGATTTCAAATAAACAAAGTCTTAGCTTTCAGAATATTAAACTTGTTTCGGCAAATTCAGATGATAAATACAGCTTTGAAGCTTCGGCATAATTACAAGCGGAGAACGGAGTAACTTGACGTCACAGCAGGCGTAACAACATCTCGTGAGCGTTTTCCCAACTTTAAAGGCCTTTTTCTCAAGATGATGACAGTCATTATATAATGTGACACATTGTGCTTAATATTTGGAGTACAACAACAATCCTGATATCATTAAGCTAGGAATCTTCAGGTTAATGCGACTGATTTCGATAGAGCAGGTCACATATGATTATATGATAGCTGTGTCGGACTTTTAAAAGCCTTGATGGCTCCACTACACATGTGATTTTGGGACAGTGTGAGAATATGATCCTTTCTTTTTAATTGTGTGTGCTCTCCAACACACTCTTAACCCTCCCACACTGTTCACCGCTCGCTGAATGGTGCTCTGTGGATATTAATCTGTGAGAGTGGGCAGTGATTTAGTGGAGGTGGAGAAACACGGATGATGAGGCTCATCATCCGTGTTTCTCCACCTCCACTAAATCACTGTTGGTGGTTCAAACAAGCTGCTCACATAACATTTAAATCTGCATCGTCCACTGAAGCATTATAATGTTAATACAAGGCAGTGTAATTACCTATTCTTCCTTTTATGTTTTGTTTTAAGCTGCTGCAACTAAAAAAACATCCAAAATTGGGATTATTAAAGTACATTTTAGTTTATCTTATCTTCAATTACTATTGGAATTTGAATAAAGTTTGGATTTTGTTGCATCAGATATTCTTATTGTGTGTAAAGTAGCAAGTACCTTGTGATTAAGTTACCATCACTTTATCTAAACTGGGGGTTTACTTAATGGGGTTGGGTTATTAAAACTGAGGGAACATCTTAAAGGTCCCATGTCATGCTTTTCTGGTTAGTACCCGTCCCCTTGTGTGTTATGAAAGTTTTTATGCATGTAAACGGTGTGCAGAGTGGCAATAACTCTCCTTACCAGCAGGCGGCGGTAGTGTGTATTCGTCATTCAAAAGAGGCAACCGGAAGACAGACTGCGTGATAACCGAGAGAAGAAGAACAGACTGCGTGATATAAACAAACAACAAATAGCGTGTGCGTTCCATTGTCACTCTACAGCGAGAAGCTCACGGGGCTTTCCCGAACCTGAGTCGAGAGCTGGAGTTCAATGGAATCTCAGATTTGCCTTCTTAATAGTTTGTTTGGGTCCCTCACTTCCGTTTCGCTTCTCATGCACTGATTCGCTAGCTGAACAGCCAATCAGAGTGATTTCTTTGCCTCCCGATTCAACATGTCGAATCGGTGGCGGAAGGTGTCGGCACGGCCGAAAAGACACGACGGTGCGGGACACACCATTCTGAGTAGGGCGACACGACGCTCATCGACGGCCCGAAATCTATTGACATCTATCAACGCCGAACATCGGCTCGGTGTGGAAGAAGCTTAACAGGTTTCCAAGAGGTACTTAAAACGTCTTGAAAGACATTTAATAAATGAATCTGAAGATAATGGTGGTATTAAAATGTATTCAATCATTCTTTAAACAATCTAAAAATGCTAAAACACGGGAAGAAGGGTTTTAGGAATTTCCTGACGGTGCATTTTTTGGGTTATATATATTTATTTATACGTGAACATGTTATTTCTGTTCATCCATATCCGGAGCAAAGAGTGAAACATACAAACAAGATGTAAAAACATGTACAAAACAACAGACAAGACGACACACAAACATAATGTGATAATAAACAAATATACATACAAATGAAATCAATAAATGAAATCAAATGAGAGTTAAGACTAATGGTACTGTTTCTCATACAATACAATACAATAGAGCACTTTAAACCTCCAGACCAAAGTGCTGTACGGTCAAATAAACAAAACATACAAAAAGTCACACAGCTCACACACCATAAAACAAGTACAAGTACAAACAATAGACAATTTAGAAGCAATAAAAGCAACAATCTACAAGATGTTAATACGCTAAGGAGAAGATGTGGTTTTTAAAAGCAGGCAATGTGAGAACCTGTCTGATATGCAGGAGCAGATTGTTCCACAGTGTGGGGACCTGTCTGATATGCAGGGGCAGATTGTTCCACAGTGTGAGAACCTGTCTGATATGCAGGGGCAGATTGTTCCACAGTGTGGGGACCTGTCTGATATGCAGGGGCAGATTGTTCCACAGTGTGGGACCTGTCTGATATGCAGGGGCAGATTGTTCCACGGTGTGGGGACCTGTCTGATATGCAGGGGTAGATTGTTCCATAGTGTGGGGACCTGTCTGATATGCAGGGGCAGATTGTTCCACAGTGTGGGGACCTGTCTGATATGCAGGGGCAGATTGTTCCACAGTGTGGGGACCTGTCTGATATGCAGGGGCAGATTGTTCCCAGTGTGGGGACCTGTCTGATATGCAGGGGCAGATTGTTCCACAGTGTGGGGACCTGTCTGATATGCAGGGGGCAGATTGTTCCACAGTGTGGGGACCTGTCTGATATGCAGGGGCAGATTGTTCCACAGTGTGGGGACCTGTCTGATATGCAGGGGCAGATTGTTCCACAGTGTGGGGACCTGTCTGATATGCAGGGGCAGATTGTTCCACAGTGTGGGGACCTGTCTGATATGCAGGGGTAGATTGTTCCACAGTGTGGGGACCTGTCTGATATGCAGGAGCAGATTGTTCCACAGTGTGAGAACCTGTCTGATATGCAGGGGCAGATTGTTCCACAGTGTGGGAACCTGTCTGATATGCAGGGGCAGATTGTTCCACAGTGTGGGGACCTGTCTGATATGCAGGGGTAGATTGTTCCACAGTGTGAGAACCTGTCTGATATGCAGGGGCAGATTGTTCCACAGTGTGGGGACCTGTCTGATATGCAGGGGTAGATTGTTCCACAGTGTGAGACCTGTCTGATATGCAGGGGCAGATTGTTCCACAGTGTGGGGACCTGTCTGATATGCAGGGGTAGATTGTTCCACAGTGTGGGGACCTGTCTGATATGCAGGGCAGATTGTTTCCACAGTGTGGGGACCTGTCTGATATGCAGGGGCAGATTGTTCCACAGTGTGGGGACCTGTCTGATATGCAGGAGCAGATTGTTCCACAGTGTGGGGACCTGTCTGATATGCAGGGGCAGATTGTTCCACAGTGTGGGGACCTGTCTGATATGCAGGGGCAGATTGTTCCACAGTGTGGGGACCTGTCTGATATGCAGGGGCAGATTGTTCCACAGTGTGGGGACCTGTCCTGATATGCAGGGGCAGATTGTTCCACAGTGTGGGGACCTGTCTGATATGCAGGGGCAGATTGTTCCACAGTGTGGGGACCTGTCTGATATGCAATTGTACAGAATGCTATGAATGCAAAAACAAGCCACAGCTCTCTCTCTCACACATTGTGCTTTTGTAATGATAATTAAAGCCTGTAATGTTATTTCATTTCTTCCTCAGGAGCTCCATGGCCTGGTGGTGCGGTTTCGAGAAGACGTGGTGGCGTTACGGACGTCAGCTGATCACATGGAGGAGAAGCTGAAGGCGGAGATTCTGTTCCTGAAGGAGCAGAACCAGGCGGAGCAATGTCTGAAGGAAAACCTGGAGGAAACGCTGCAGACGGAGATCGAGAACTGCAAGGAGGAGATAGGTGAGGACGGTTAATACGCTCATCACATATACGGTGGATTTTAACACTTTTAAAGGATTAGTTCACCCATCTCTCTCTCTATCTCCATGCTAGGTTTATTATGTAGTCAGTGGTGCAAATCAGAGTGCATTTACCCATGAATAAAGTGCCGCAGTGACGCATCCTAAAACCTGGAAGTAAACTCCTTCCGGTTCCTTCGATAAAACGCAATGCAATTTCTCCATAGGGTTTTGGAAGATAGCTGGAAATCAGGTCTGTGGTTGAAACACATTTAAGAGACGGATCATGTTTTGTTCAGCCGGATAATCTCCACATGTCTATCCTACTTTTATCATTTTATAATCGTAAATCTAATCGCCAGAAGCAAAATGCTAACGTTATGCTATAAAGGAACTACAGCAGGGTCGCTGCTTCAACGTCACGCCGACTTCAGATCCATATTCAAAACTACAGATTCTAAATGGTTCAAGTTGAAGCGTTTGTTTGAACAGTCTGCAGGAGGCAGAGACTTGCTTTCAAGCAGAACAGAAACTAACTTAGAGGAGTGTTTACATGTTCGGCGTAATGACGTACAACGGCCTCGACAACTTCTGTAGTCCTATTCAGCCACTTGGTAACAACCATCGTTTTTCAGACACGTCAACTCTTCAGAAATCACCAGTGGGGTCACTGCTGATGGATTTAATGTCGTCGAACAAAAGTGATCCGTCTCTTCAATGTGTCTCAACCACAGACCTTGTTTCCAGATATTTTCCTAAATCTGTGGAGAAATGTTGCTTTTTGTCGAAGGAACCGGAAGTGGTAAAAATGAACTGACTTCCGGGTTTTAGGACGCGTCACTGCACCACTCTATTGTTTACTATTCTCACATACTTCACCATTTAATGCCTACTTCCCTGCAAATATAGTACTTTTGTCTCTAGGTGAGAACGTTTAATAAGCTTTCATCAGATACACGGTAGATACACTTATGTTTAACACTTTTTAAGGATTAGTTTAACCAAAAACTAACTTCTCTAAGAAAACGTGTTTGTATTTGATGGTGTTGAAGAGATGTTTTTATTGGGGTTGTATGAGTTACTTTTTTGAATCCATACTCCGTTTATTAGTATAAGTATTGTTAGTAGTAAGTATTGTTTACAAGAGTATTATTCTGACATACTTCACATCCTCACATATTTCCACTATATTTATTTATTGTTTTGATACTTTAATTACATTTTGCCAACAAAAACTCACTGTTATTCTATTGTGGTAACATTATGTAATCAGGACATTGACATCTGTAATTTAAGACCTTAGTATTAATGCTTTTATTCAGAAAGACGGCAAAAAAAGGGTTTAAAATGTCCAAAAAAACTCTTGTTTAATTTCCTGTTTTCGTGCGAGGATAATCTTTCAGTGGCGAACCGTCAGGGCCTTCAAGGTATTCAGAGAATACCCTGGAACACTCGGATAAAACAAACAAAACAATCGATTTAATTATATAAATAAAATGAATAAATGAGAATGGTATCTGTGTCGTTGATCTGTAATATTACAGTGTTACGTTGATTTGTTTCTCCTTCTCGGACCATGCACTACGCATTTCAGTGGTTTTGTGTTAGAAAAGAAAGCAACCAATCAGATCTTGTTCTGGGTCTCTGGGTAGAACATCCTTCAACCAAGGTATTCTACATCCTTGATCGAAAGCCCTGGCCGTTGCACTGAATGAGAGCGTACGTTTGGACTGACAGTTTGATCAACCAATCATATATTGATTTGTAGCCAATGGGCGTATTCTTTCAGAGTTCCCCTCGGTTCAGGGTATTCTAGAAGGCCCGCTAGTTAACTGGCTCCAGACAGAGGATCTAGAGTGCGACGAAGCAATTCATGCCGTTTTATTGTTTTTAACGTTGAAATGACAAGTGCAACAGGTGAAGAGGAAGTTTTTGCGGAATTGTTGTGAGTACCATTTTCAAGACGACAATTCAGTGAAAAGACGGACATTATAATGCCGCGGGGGGGGCGGGGGGTGGGTGTGATAGCCACGGTTCGCCACTGTAATCTTTGAATCTAATTTCGCTGGATTTTTGAAAACATTGTTGTATGTTGATTTCCATCTGTCCTTGCATGGATGAAATACTCTTGGATAAAGCGGCAACCGACCTATTTTCTGTTGTTTGTCTGTTTGCGTTGATAAGACCCGGACGCTCCGCTGTCTTTAACGCGATGAAATACATATCTATGTTTTTCTTGCACCATATAGACTAGAGCCTAAACGTGTACTGTATACAATTTCAGTGATTTTTGGGTGAACTGTTCCTTTAACTTCTGTGGGGATGAATATTTTTTACTTTCTGGATTCTTTTTACATTTTCTTCTGTTTCTGCTTTTCCTTTCCGTTGATTACTTTCATTCAGACATCTTGGAAGGTACGAGAAACACTTTGAGCGGGCTTACTTTAACTGCTTGTGTGTGTGTGCGTGTGGGGGTGTGGGGGGTGTGTGTGTGTCTGTCTGAATAGCATACCTGTCTAGTGAATAACTTTATTCATTTAATTTGAGTTTTTCCTTGTGTGTGTGTGTGTGTGTGTGTGTGTGTGTGTGTGTGTGTGTGTGTGTGTGTGTGTGTGTGTGTGTGTGTGTGTGTGTGTGTGTGTGTGTGTGTGTGTGTGTGTGTGTGTGTGTGTGTGTGTGTGTGTGTGTGTGTGTGTGTGTGTGTGTGTGTGTGTGTGTGTGTGTGTGTGTGTGTGTGTGTGTGTGTGTGTGTGTGTGTGTGTGTGTGTGTGTGTGTGTGTGTGTGTGTGTGTGTAATACCTGTCAGACTAATGAATAACTACAGAGTGTACACAACATAGCGCTTCTCCCTCACATGTTTTGAAGTGTGTTGGAAGATGTGTGTTTTAAGAGACCACTTAAAGGGAATCAGATGTTAATGATCCTCTTAGTGACGTCTCCTTTCCTCCGACAGCATCTTTCTCCAGCCTCAAGACGGAGATGGAGAGGATAAAGGCGGAGAAGGAAAAGGTAATACATGCAGTAAGACTTGGAACTTATACACCTAAATGAAATTGCTCAGTCAATGCAGACAGCTGCTATTTTCTTTGTTTAATATTAAAGTGAGAGCGTATCTTTTGCATCCGACATGCAGTTACATGATACCCAATGCACAAGGTAAAATTGTGTGTTTTCAGATTGATCTGATCATTTGAATAAGTTCAGTACTTGAGCTAATCTACTTAATTACTGTCTGACGCTGAAATTAGAACTTATCAGTGTATTGTTTTCAAACCAACACCATAATGTCCTAATAATTTGACAACACTGTATTTTTTAGTTTCTGCAAATCCAGGCTTTTAGAAAATATCCTGCAGATCAACATTTGTTCAAGTATTGCACTTTAGAAGAAAATATACTTATTTAGTTAACTCATAGTTTCTAGCTACTTTTTACATATTAAAACACATGGTATGCTTTAAGGATATGATGCAGTACTGTACTACTAACTTTGGGCAAGTATTTAAAATGTTATAACATGTGTATGTTGTTATTCATTAGTTGTTGTTGATAAAAACAGGATGATACTATGGGGGAAAAGCCATTCTGCATACTGAGTACTTTTGATACGTTAACACAATTTTGCTGACAAAAACACAACTTCTGTTCTTCTGTGAGTAAAATCTGAATATGAACCTAAAAGAGCGCCTTTAAGACCATAGTATTTCTACTCTTACCAAGGGCGCCGGAAGCGGGGGGGCCAGGGAGCCATTGCCCCCCCGCTTTTCAGCCCTGCCCCACATTTTCACAGCAGCAGATGCCGCGGAAAACTGTACAAATCCCGTTTCAATAATTCCCCTCTACTCTAAAGTCGCATCTATAACGCGATCTGATCTAGCTGTGTATATTTTGTTATTTTTGATTGTTATATTCAATCTCACTAGCTACAGGCATGTTTGAAGCTTGTAAAGGGAAGATGACAGCTCTCACTGGCCACTCTGCTGTTCCTCAGCGCCGCCCCCCCCTCCCTCCCGCTGAAATTATGAATGTAAGGTGCTCATCATAGATAACACGGCAGGGTCCGTTACAGTTTGTTTTTATCTGATTTCAAATAAGCAAAGTCTTGGCTTTCAGAATATTAAACTTGTTTCGGAAAATTCAGATGATAAATAGGCCTACAACTTTGAAGCTTGTAACGGCATAATTACAAGCGGAGAACCGAGTAACTTGGGTCACAGCAGGCATAACAACAGCCGGTGTTTCCCGTGAGTGCAGTAATCCAAACAAAAATATTTCCCCTCCGTAGTATTTTGATCATTTGCTAATAATCAATCAGATCGATGGATTCCAGAGAAGAGAAAACTTTAAAGGCCTTTTTCTCAAAATGATGACTCTGTAACAGTCATTATATAATGTGACATATTTTGCTTAATATTTGGAGTACAACAACAATCCTGATATCATTAGAAAGCTAGGAATCAAAATGTGTCTTCGGGTCAATGCGACTGATTTCGATGGAGCAGGTCACTTTGCATTAGGTAAAATAAAGCAGGCAGACATAACAGGAAGAATATGTAGGCCTACATTTTAACCCAATGAAATAGGACATTGTCACACCATTCAAATGTATCCATGTACCCTAAATTACAACCAATAAAAAAGCTTAGATTTGTTACGTTGTTTACTTTATTTGTTACGTTGTTCTGTGTGTGTCAGTCGTTAACCTAGAGATAGAAAGAATATATACACTTGCAAACATGTCAGAAGAACCAGCGCAGAAGAAAACTAAATACAGTCAATCTAAACTTAAATTTAACAACTGGAAGGTCACATCCCTGACATCCACATCTCCGGAGCCTGGACCTTCTTCAATCAGCGAAGCCAGATGAACCCAAAAGCAGCAGCTCTGCGGCCGCAGAAACTGTCAAAACCACCGCCGCCGTTGTTGTACCGAAACAGGCTGGTTCCGACTGCATGGAGGATTGTTGTCGGGACATTGAGGCGGGGTAAAGCTGTACAGCTAACTATCGGAAAAAAGGAGACCGCTAGTAGATTATTTGGGCAAAGAGAAGGTAGGCCTACTTCAACGCAGAATGGTACAAAAACAGAGAGTGGTTAATTATTTGCAAAACCACTAAACGATAAAACTGCGATGTTAACAACCTCATGATAACCTCATATTGTTTTAACTTAGGATCATACCTGTGTTTAGTCTAGAAAAAGGTAATTGTCAGTGGCGTTTTCTCCTGGAGGCCAAGGGAAGCCAGGCTTCCCCTGTTTGTTTGGATTGTAGTTATAATTTTAATAAATAAATAAAAACACTTCGTTTAGTTTCGGAAATTCTTTGCCGGGTGTTGCTGCCGGCCCGTCTCTCCCCCATTCTCATTGAGTATTTTACAAAGAGTGAAACAGCGCCCCTCTAGATGTTATGGTGAAACAGTAGATTGCACTCTCTGTTGCGAGTGGAGGCCAGCCGAAATTGGCTTCCCTTGGTGAAAAAAAATGGAGGGATTGACCAATCAGACAAGGCTAACGTCATGCCCCTGCCAACCTGTGATTAGTCAGGGCCATGCCAAGGGAAGCCAGAGGCGGCTGGCTTCCCTTGCCTCCAATCAAATCGCATCAATTTAGTGTGGCAGTGACGCATCCTAAAACCCGGAAGTAAGCTGCGCTCGGTTTCCCTCGACAAAAAAGCAATGGGATTTCTACATAGGATTTTGGAAAATAGCTCGAAATAAGGTCAGTGAAAAATGAACCTGTTAGATAAATGCACGTTTTGTTCAGCCGGATAATATCCACATGTCTACCCTACTTTTATTATTTTCGAATCATAAATCTAATCGATAGAAGATAGATAGCGTCACTGCACCTCTCTCACCGCCGTTAGAAAGTAGCAAGCAAGTGCAATTATGGAGGGTGGAGATTTGGAGTATTTAATCAAAAATAATTGTACTAAACTTCCGCTACAGCAGCAACAAAAAATACAATCTGATGACAGGCCGATGCCCAAACTGGAGCTGTGTACAGCGAGGAACAAAGGAGCGAATCGGACGTAAAACGTTAAAGGTCTCCTGATTTAGTTTGTGAATGAATGCTTATTAGAGTTTGGGCTGGAGAGTGCGTGCGGACCTGTCGGTTAGATAACAGGCGTGTGTAAGTCCTGCATCTGAATGATACAAATGTGTGTAAAATGATACCGGGTGCTGTAATCACTCATCTGGTTACGTTATCACATTGACCACCACACCCCCGACCCAAACGAAAGGACGTAATATTGGCTTCCCCTAATTTTCTCCCCACGCCACACTACTGGTAATTGTGTGCATTTTATTATAAAGTTGTATATTTACAGACTGTTGCAAAAACTAAGAAGCTTATAAACATCAGGTTTAAAACTAAAAGAGCTTTGAAACACAATGAAAGATGTTTGGTGTTTTATTTGAGTTATTCATTTACATTTTGTAAAAGAGATGCTGATTTGAAACCGTTGTTACATTCAGTTACGGCACTTCTTGTTTCTGCGGAGAGAGGGGAGGCCGTCCCAAAGCTTGCTGCTGTATTTACTCCCTCCATCTGACAGGAGGGAGCCTCGTGTGTCACTCCACGGAGTTCACTCCGTCACGGAGGGGGGAGTGTGTAGGGGTAGGGTGTAGGGCGTGGTTTGGGAGTGGGCCATACACATGCACTTTTTTTGGCCCCCCCACTTCTAAAATGAATCCGGCGCGCCTGACTCTTACATAAGTAAAGGATTGAAACACTACTTCCACCTCTGGTCAAATGTATTATCTGCAGTACTTGGGTGTATTCTTGATGTACTCTGTGGTTCCTGTAGTTAATTTAATTTGTTTAATTTTAAAGTGAGAGCGTATCTTTTACGTCAGATTTTCAGATTGATCTGCTGCCTGCAAATGTCCCCAAAATCCACCAAGTATTTTAATAAGTTCAGTACTTGAGCTAATCTACTTAATTACTGCTGAAATTAGAACGTAATCAGTCTTAAAACCTACATGTTAATGTCCTAATAGTTTGGATACTGTATTTGTGTTACGTTTCTGTACATACATAAGAAATCTAATGCAGATCGACATTTACTCAAAACGTGTATTTATTATAATGTGAACTTCCCTATTCCAATTTTATGCTACTTATATTTCTACTTTACTACATTTTTAAGGCATATATTGTGTGTTTTATTAAACACTGCAGTATTCTGTGTATTATTGATGTACTCTGTGGTTCCTGTAGTTTGAGAGGAGTCTGTCGGAGAAGACGGAGACTCTGGAGAACCTTCAGGGTCTGAGGATCAGTCTGGAACGGCAGCTCAGAGAACTCTCCACTGCAAAGGTCATTTACACACACTCACATGCACACCTCACACACACCAAAGTCACCTGAAACAGTGTGTGTGGATGTGTGTAAACGTGAGCCTCCTGGAGCAGTTGGTACCTTGCATGTGTGGAGTGTGAATGTAAAGCCCTTTAAGGAGTCGTAAAGACAGCCCTTTATAACGTCATGTACCATTTAAAGGATACCAGTTAGGCAGATACTCCAAGCCATGATGTTATGATGGCTGCTTTAATTAGTCGTACATGCTTGTTTAAACTTTTTTTTTTAAATAAATATTTTGATATGAGATTACACAATTTCTTACATTTGAGATAAAGTAATGTTGCATAAGTGTAAAAGTCTGCATTACAGTAAAGTGACTCCTTTTCTTGACTTTTTTTTATTACAAATACAATTATATTTAATTTTTTCCTTGCATACAAAATGTGTTTCTGTTTTAACAACATTTTTACAAATATTAGCAATTTGTAAACTTCCTTGTGATACAAAATCATGAATTCAACCAGTAAAGATACATCACCTTTTAAAGGTCACCTGTTATGCAAAATCCACCTCTTCATGTCTCTTCTACATCAACATGTGTCCCCTCTTCTTCATGTCTCTTCTACATCAACATGTGTCCCTCTTCTTCATGTCTCTTCTACATCAACATGTGTCCCCTCTTCTTCATGTCTCTTCTACATCAACATGTGTCCCCTCTTCTCCATGTCTCTTCTTCATCAACATGTGTCCCCTCTTCTCCATGTCTCTTCTACATCAACATGTGTCCCCTCTTTCTTCATGTCTCTTCTACATCAACATGTGTCCCCTCTTCTTCATGTCTCTTCTACATCAACATGTGTCCCCTCTTCTTCATGTCTCTTCTACATCAACATGTGTCCCCCTCTTCTCCATGCTCTCTCATCACATGGTCCCTCTCTCCATGTCTCTTCTTCATCAACACTGTGTCCCCTCTCTCCATGTCTCTTTCATCAATGGTTCCCCTCTTCTCCCTGTCTCTTCTACATCAACATGTGTCCCCTCTTCTCCATGTCTCTTCTACATCAACATGTTGTCCCCTCTTCTTTTCCATGTCTCTTCTTACATCAAACATGTGTCCCCTCTTCTCCATGTCTCTTCTTCATCAACATGTGTCCCCTCTTCTCCATGTCTCTTCTACATCAACATGTGTCCCCTCTTCTTCATGTCTCTTCTACATCAACATGTGTCCCCCTCTTCTTCATGTCTCTTCTACATCAACATGTGTCCCCTCTTCTTCATGTCTCTTCTACACAACATGTGTCCCCTCTTCTCATGTCTCTTCTACATCAACATGTGTTCCCTCTTCTTCATGTTCTTCTACATCAACATGTGTCCCCTCTTCTTCATGTCTCTTCTACATCAACATGTGTCCCCTCTTCTTCATGTCTCTTCTACATCAACATGTGTCCCCTCTTCTTCATGTCTCTTCTTCCATCAACATGTGTCCCCTCTTCTTCATGTCTCTTCTACATCAACATGTGTCCCCTCTTATTCATGTCTCTTCTACATCAACATGTGTCCCCTCTTTCTTCATGTCTCTTCTACATCAACATGTGTCCCCTCTTCTCCATGTCTCTTCTACATCAACATGTGTCCCCTCTTCTCTTCCCCTCGTACTCAAGTGTCTCTTATTCTTCTACATCAACATGTGTCCCCTCTTCTCCATGTCTCTTCTACATCAACATGTGTCCCCTCTTCTTCATGTCTCTTCTACATCAACATGTGTCCCCTCTTCTCCATGTCTCTTCTACATCAACATGTGTCCCCTCTCTTCATGTCTCTTCTACATCAACATGTGTCCCCCTCTTCTTCATGTCTCTTCTACATCAACATGTGTCCCCTCTTCTTCATGTCTCTTCTACATCATGTGTCCCCTCTTCGTCCATGTCTCTTCGACATCAACATGTGTCCCCTCTTCTTCAACCCCCCCCCCCCTTATCACCTGAACCTCCTAGAGCTCCATTGAGTTCTTTGTAACCAAATCTCTCTCAGAGGGGCGTGGGGAGGGGCTCCTTACTTTAATCTAAAGTAACAGACAGAGAATCAGCACTTTGGAAACAGGGCTGAAACAGAGGGGATTATGGGTAATGCTGCAATGATCTGTTTGGTGTTTCAGCCAATCAGAGACAGGCTCTGTATATATCTGAGACCTGTGATAGAGTAATGGAAAACAGTATAACAGGGGACCTTTAAGATAACTTATTTGGCCCAGTCTTGGCTCTGTAATCTAGTGTTAGTTGTGTTGACCTCCTGCAGATTGCGCTCCAGACTCAGGCGATGGATGAGAAGGACAAAGCTCAGCGGCTGCAGACGGAGCTGGACGTCAGTGAGCAGGTTCAGAAGGACTTCGTCAAACTCTCTCAGACTCTTCAGGTGAGAGAGAGGAGTGTTTAGAATAGAATATAGAATAGAATTGGACACATGTTCATGCACACAGTGACATTTGTTCTCTGCTTTTTACCCATCCTAGTCCCAGGAGCAGAGTGTTTAAGAGATGAGGAAAAACAACAAAGCTAAATCTTTTAAGGATGAGACGATATCCTAATAAAGATAACTGTAAATGTATGAACCATGTACACCAAGACACATTCCTCGTGTGTTAACCTGCTTGGCGATAAACATCATTCTGATGCTTGTTTACAAGATGTTTATTCCACTTGTTAGAGGAAACCATAGCATTGGATAAATGGGGGAAAACGACACTGAATAGAAATTATTTTGACTATATTTTTGTGAGTATTACAAACTAGAACTGTGATGTAAGGCGGGACAAAACATTTAGATTATGTTTTTGAATTTTAAATGGATTATAATGAGTTATTTGTGGTGCTCTGCCGGTTCAGCTGGAGCTTCATTAGCCGCGTTCACACAGAGTACTTTTCAGTACCACAGTTCTGATTGGCTGGGCGATTGCAAACCACGCCCCGTAAAACTCTGAAATGTTTTGTAGAGCCGCCATTTTATTATCCTCGCATTAGCATTATTAGCATTAGCATTCGCCCAGCGCACAAACGCAGAGAGACTAACTTATGGCAACACAAAATAAAACATGGGAGCGGTGGAGATGAGGAGGTGTCGGCGTTCTGGCGATTTACTCAGAAGGCTTCAGTAGAAGCTGCTGGGAGTCCCAGCAGCTTCTACTGAAGCCTTCCCCAACTCCGGGGACTTCCGGCCGGGGACTCCGGATGGCAGTATACTCCGTGAAGTGGTTTGCGGCCTGCCAGTAAACCCAAAGCAGAAGAAGAAGAAGTGACGTCAGCGGCTTCATTTGCCTAATCTTCCTTCAGGGAACTTATTCCGGTGTGAACGCTATCTGCTCTTTAGTTCCATGGGGGAACTAAGTACGGCAAAGTACTTGGTGTGAACGCGGCTTTTGAGTGCATTTCAAACTCAGGACTTTTATTTGTAAAATAGTGTTTTTCACACCGTGGTAAAACTACTTTTCCACTTCTAGTTTGTGGCTGATTCCAAACACAGCTTAAATGTTTTTGCTTTGTAGTTTGTATACAGAGATTTCAATTAGTAAAAGCAGGCGAGAAGGAAAGAAACGCTCTGACCCGAAGCCTTAGACTAACAGAGTTAACAGGAAACATGCCAAAGGGTTAGTCGTTTCAAATTAAATAATGACAAATAAAGAATTGTTGTGTTTTAATTGAATAATAATGAGTTGTTTGGCGCTCTGCAGGATTTTTGTTTGTAAAATAGTGTTTTCACACCGTGGTAAAACTACTTCTCCACCTCTAGTCTGTGAGCTTAAATGGGTTTGGTTGGAACATTTTTATACAGAGTTTTCAATGAGTAAAAGCCGGGGAGTAAACCAAAATTGATCATGAGAAAAAGTCGGATATGTGAAATGAAACGCTCTGATCCGAAGCCTTAGGTGCTGTTTACACGAGAACACAAACGGTTGTATCCGCTACTTTCCTCTCGCATATAGCCCGTTCGTTCACACGAGGCCGTAATGGAACCGCGGAAACAGACCCCGCAAACGATAACGGGTCCCAAGGTGGATAGATCTGCAACCGGAACGCTCTGGGGGGCCAAACGTCTCAGTGTGTACGCCCTATACGATCATTTCCTGATAATGATGAAGCCTTAACCCCGCCTCTCCCCACCTCTGCTGCTCACTGCTGTAGCATGGTCAGTAGCTACTGTCAGTAGCTACTGACCATGCTACAGATGTTAGTGCAACATCTACAGCTCCTCTTCCACAACCATCAGCAACAAGTGGACATGGAGAACTACATGAACTACATGTTGCTAAATCCACCGCGGAGAGTGAACAGAAGGGCAACCATGGCAACCATGCTCAGGGGTCTTCTTCGCTGCTTTTGGTGTATTTTGTGGCGGAAGACAGCGCCACTTACAGGCTTGGCATATGTACTACAGTGTCTCCAGCGCTTTCGAGCGGTCTCGTGTGAACGGAATACTTTTTTTATATCGTATTCGGTTCGTTTGCGTTTGCGTGTAAATGGGGCCTTAGAATAACGGAGTAAACAGGAGACATACCAAAGGGATAATCAAAGGGAATTGTTGTGTTTTAATTGAATAATAATGAGTTATTTGTGTGTTTCTGCAGGTTCAGCTGGAGCGAATACGACAGGCGGACTCTTTGGAGCGAATCAAAGTCATCCTCAACGACACCAACTTCACTGACATCAACCAGCTTCCAGACACATGATGACACTGACAGGAAACTGCTTCAGCTTCATTCCCCCTCCTCCTCCTGCCCCCTAACCACCACAGAAGAAGAGTTTTGGAGGGACTAAAGGAGCCTTTTTCTTGTGTACAGAGCACACTGCGGATAATAGAATAATGAAGAAGAACACTACTACTACTAAAACAAGAAAAATGTAAATAAGTAAATGTGTGATTGTTGACGGAGGGATCTCCCTGCGTCTCGTTTCTACTGTAGATATATATTTCCGTCTGTTAGCTCAACCAAAAAAGGTTTGTCGTCGTCTAAAAGCACTTTTCATCGTCTCTTTCCAGGTCATTTTAGACGAAAATTGGATGCATACATTTTCCTCGTCCTTGCTTCCCTTTTCCACTCGCTTCCTCTTTCCTTTCCACTGTTGTTGTTCTGTGACATTTTCCTCCTTGTTTTGGCTCATTCTCGCCCTGTGACAAAGACACGATGAAGGACACTCATGGGAAATACTTGCACATAATTTAACTGTCAAACTAACAGGATTTCAGCAACATCCTTCATCCTCTCCTCACATCGGACATTTTTTAAAAGCTGCACAAACACAGTGAAGAAATATCCATATCCTGTTTCAAAGATTTATTTTCCACCCTTCTTGAAAATCATGAAGACACAGAGGAAGTGGATTTTATAACGCGTTTCGCTCCTTTTGATTGGTTCCCTTAGTGTAATTTAAAAGCTTAAAAGAGCAATTAGCTGCTCATTCAAAGACACTTAAAAGAGGGAGCACCTCTTGAGAATTCAGTGGGTAAAATCACCAACACAAATTCATATAACTTTTGGTATTAATGTGTCTACGAGGTTCATTAATCACCACTTTGAGGCTACAAATGGGTTTCATTTCAACACTTTTAAAGCTGGGTTATGCAGAGTTTCTTTTACCGTTATTGGGTACAAAATAATCCACAGTAACCTCTCGGCATATTGTAACTCGAGCCTTATTTGAAAATCAGATTCCTGCTGTTTTCAGGGTTTATCAAATCTAGCCTGCGACCAATTAGCCACATCATTTCAGAGAGAAAGCATTCCTATTGGCTGTTCAACAAAAGTAGATGTGCATGCATGGTGATTCCAGAAGTTAAGCGCCTGATACAACGGAGGAAAGTCCTGCAGAATAAGTGGCTTTTCATGCATTGGCACAACGACACTGAAACTGCAAAGAAACCCCGGTGGAGGGCTGTACGTTCAATGTTTGCCTCTCCAGAAAACTGCCTAACTGGCTAAGACTTGAAGGACAATGTGCTCGAAATATGATGAATTATTGCCGAATAATGCAAGAACAAATCTGCCTGTACCAGCTTTAAAGTGTCAGGGTGTTGGAAAGCAAATCAAAAAGACTGATCTGTGATTGATGTATTATTAACACAAACAACTTCGTCCTTAAGACCTCAGAAAGTTCTTAAGTTAAAATACGCTTCATCATCAGTGAGCTTTCTGGAACTCTTGGACTTGCTAAAACCCCTGAGATTTGAAATGGGAACCACCAAATTAAATTCGTTGCGAAATCAAACCACGGGAAAGAAAACGTGTTTACCCAAAGACGTTTAACTCAAAAGAAAATAATCGTTTTTCCCCTTGACATAAACAAATCTTACAAATGGACATTTTCAGATGTTAATTGCATTGAATTTTACAGTGAAAATGTAAGCAGGGAGCTTATGGGAGAAAGCTACTTCACACCTCGACACAAAAGCCATAAAAAGTGTGTTTTCCTAATATTGCAATAATAATAATAAGGACCCTCAGATTTAAGCGTATTTCAGACGCTTTTAGACCATCTCGAAGTGTTTCTAATGAAGCATCCTGAGGCTTTTACCCAAACTTAAAATGACAAATTGTGCTTTTTAATTAACCATATTTAATCAAGGCAGTTTAACAAAAAATACGGATTTTAAAACCACAAGATTACACATTAAATCTGTGTGTTTTGAGGTGTTAAACGGCAGGCGTCTCATTGCCCCTTAATAAGACATTGAATGGTTTTGAATTAAGGAAGTGGAGGTTTCTTTTTGGCATATTTGACAATTATTATTTCCCAACGCAAGAGGTGGCACATCAGCTGCTTCAGTTTTAAAATATTAAGAGAAATACAAAGACTTCTGGAGCTGAAGAAAGTGGAAAATGACTAGTTTTAACATTCACTAAAGTCTTGATGTTCAAACATGCAGACAGAAAAGTAGGATTTCACCAATTAACTAAATTCAATAGTTTTTGTTCTTTTCTCAGCAGTCTGCTTTGAATACAGACTGACCCTCGATGTCACTTTGAACGGTTAAAACGGCACTAATGAACTTCTATTGAAAACAAATCATCCTGAAGTGATAAAGAAGGACTTCTCTCTGTATTGTGATTAAAACAATATCCATATAATCACGCATACAGCAGCTTTTAGGACATGTTGATTACTGTTTTCCTTTGTTGACGTGCATGTATTACATTTCCTTTGTGTTGTCTATACTGTAGATATCTGACGTTGATATTTATGAATGATCCAGAAATATCAAGTTGCACTGACAGAAAAACCGTGTGTCTGATTGTGAACGGAGAAATGGTGAAAGTAGATAATATTCATGAGGTGTTTCTTCTCTGAAAAGGCCTTATTGCATTACGGCTTGGTGTGTTTGTGACATTTAAAACCCTCTAATTTAACGTGTGTCTCTTACAGTAACTCATTTTACTCGTGGCCCATATGGCGTTAATATGAAGATTCATCACCGCAGACATTCACTGATTTGTATTCAATAATCTCTGATCTAACACTGCTGGATTATATGAAAACATGTACGTTAAATCCCCAAAATGATGGAGTAAATGTTCAAAAGTTAGATGGATGTTTGAATTTGTCTGAAAGCTCAAACTGTGAGACGATAACTACTTGTTTTTTAGCGTTTCAATCAGGGGTGTCAAACTCAAGGCCCGGGGGCCGAATCCGGCCTGCGACTTCATTTTATGTGGCCCCACAAGAGCTTGCAAAGAATAATACGTTTATTATACGGTTACATGCCGATTTACAGAAGCACGTTGCCCATAAACTACATGTCCCACAATGCATCTCAAATTTTACTTTTTTCTCAGAATTTGACTTTTTTTCTTCTAAATATGCCTTTTTTCTTAGAATTGTTTTTGTAAATGTTGCTTTTTTTTTCAAAATTGTGTTTCTTTAAAAAAAAAAATTCACTTATTTTTTTCCAATTTCACTTATTTTTTGGGATTTTGACTTTTTTTCTCCAGAATTTGGCTTTTCTTTTTAAATAATTGTGTGACATTCTCACTGAAGATACTTGCAATTATTTTCCCTAGACTTCTGCTTTCAGACGTAGTTAATTATGAAGTTATTACCCTATCCGATAATGATCCAATGCAGGGGAAAATAATGTAATATAATACATTATTTTATATATATGATATATTTATATATGTATTTTTGATATAGTCTTAAAGTTACAACCGGCCCTTTGAGTGCAGCCATAATGCAGATGTGGCCCGCGATGAAATTGAGTTTGACTCCCCTGGTGTAAATAATGAAAAATGACACTCGCAGCTTAATTATGAGCTATACATACGTGGTTTAGATGAGTTTGAATTGTGAGCCAATCAGATTTGTGTTATGTTTTAAGAAATGTTTAATTTACATCATAGACAAATGCAAACTTCAATTTCCCTACCATAACATAAATGTAACGTAGTCAGTTCATGAAGACATAATCATGCAAATCGTTTATTTTAAATATCAGTGTTTGTTCTTAAAGAACCAGAAAAGGATCTTTGTATTCTGTATTTGCACTTTACTGTTAAATGTAAATTTTTCGCTCAATATTAACCACTTATTTCTGATTGAAAGTGCACAGTTTGAGCTTTCAGCTTTTATCATTCCACTTAAATCATTGTTATCATGTTTTACATTGTAAGATCTGTACGAGGGTTAGACAAGTGAAATGGCATCCAGTCTAAAATAAAACACTCCTGATCCAGACCTCTGTTCTTTTAATCGTTTTAATTGATAATAAATCAGCAGCTACAGGAATCTAAAATGACTATGTGCATGGGTTTCAGTAAAGATGTCAACTCTTTTGACAACAAGAATACATCTTCTAAAGACTTGAATATTTGTCATTTTCTGCGGCTTTCATGTCTTTACAAATTGCCAAATTCCCTGCTGCATATTGGCTGTTATTCTTCGGTTTACATGCATCTGTTACGTTCCCTAATAGTCTAGGGCAGGGGAGTCAAACTCAGTTTCATCGCGGGCCACATCAGCATTATGGCTGCACTCAAAGGGTCGGTTGTAACTTTAAGACTATATACAAATAAATATATAAATATATCATATAAAATAATGCATTATATTACAATATTTTCCTCTGCATTGGATTATTATCGGATAGGGTAATAACTTCGTAATTAACTACGTCTGAAAGCAGAAGTCTAGGGAAAATAATTGTAAGTCTCTTCAGTGAGAATGTCACAACAAGATTTTAAAAGAAAAGCCAAATTCTGGAGAAAAAAAGTGAAATTTGAAGGAAAAAAGTGATATTTTGAAAAAAACAAGTGACATAAAAAAAGTAAAATTCTGAGAAAAAAAGTCCAATTTGAGATGCATTGTGGGACATGTAGTGCCATGTAACCGTATAATAAACATTCTATCAGAGCTCTTGTATGTAGCCACATGAAATTAAGTCACGGGCCGGATTTGGCCCCCGGGCCTTGAGTTTGACACCCCTGGGGGTTTCAAGGGAAGAGATTGAATAACCAGGAGACACAAAGAGGAGAGGAAACTGATTTGCAAAACTAAAGATTTTTTTTTTTAATGACTCAAAACAAAGAGGGCTCACCAGACAATTTACAAAACAAAGCAAACTATTGAACAGCTTTCTTACAAGAGATAGAGATAAACAATGGAGCACATCTCCTTCCACTTAACACAACTATTCACATCTAATTGCCACGTCTCACACAGAGAGAACACACTATCTGCTCAGGTACAGTAACACACTGACGTCCAGCAGCTCCGAGGGGAAGAGAGGCTGCATGTTTATCACTGAAATAATCAAATAAGCCCTTATCTTACTATACAAAGCAGGAGAACGCTGTAATAGCCTTTTAAAGAAATGTGAGGATGTAAATAAAATACATAAAAGGACATAATTAACAAGCATATCTGGCCAAAGGGCAACAATACAATATACAAACTATATAATATATGATATGATTTTTAAAAATATATATTTAAAAAAAATTTTTTTTATCCTATTTATTTAACTTTTAATTAATTTTTTATTGCTATTTATGTATTATTTTTTACGCTTATTATTTATTTTTATATTTTATTATTTACTATTTATTGTATTACTTTATCTATTTTAGAATTCAGATGGCAGCTGTAATAGCTCTATTCAGCCTCCAGGGGGCATCCTCCTCATTAACAACTTCGTACCCCGCCGCCAAAACTTCCCACGAAGAAGAAAAACGATTCAGGGTGGAGAAAAAAAAACAGCAGAGGAACTCCTCCTGTTTACAACAACATAATGGAGACAAAATGGTCAAATATGAGCTGCCGGCGGGTTTTATTGACTGGATTTATGCTATGTATTGTATTAGGTGAGTGCTGAAGCCCATCTTGGGTTATATTTGAATTTGGATATGTTTGATGTTAGCCCTTTATTTAAGGTGGGACACCAGGTTAGCTAGCTAGCGTTGTTTCATGTACAGCAGCACCTAAAACCTATCATTTCCTACTAATTAATGCACCTTTGTTCACCTTTTGTTGCTAGAGACGAGATTTAACACTGCCGAAAACATCCATAAAGGGATTTTAAGCTACACTTAAACGCACACACCTATTGGTAAATGTTAGGTTATATAATTAAGGTTAATCGTTAAATGCACTATAATTTAAACGAGATTTGGTGAATAGTGTTTACCTCTTGTGGCTATAGACGATATTAAACCAAGCCGAACACATCTTTATAAGGAGTATTTTCACTATACATGCTTTTATACTAATTGGTTACATGTAAAGGTTATTTAACTAAGGCTAACAATTAAATCCACAATAATTTAAGTGGGATTTGGTGTAGAGTGGTCATTAATGCACCTTTGTTCACCTTTATTTAACACTGCCGAAAACATGTATCCAGTGTGTTAAAGCTACTTAATCGTGTACACCTATTGGTAACATGTAAAGGTTATTTAATTAAGGTTAATAGTTACATTTACTATGATTTGAGTGAGATTTAGTAAAGAGTGGTGGCTACCCCTCTAAACTCTTCTTACTAATTAATGCACCTTTCTTCACTTCCTGTTGCTAGTGATGATAATTAACAATGCCGAAATCATCTATATATACAGTATTAGCTACACCTATGCTTGTACACCTATTGGTACATGTATAGGGTATTTAATTGAAGTTTATAGTTAAATTCACTATAATTTGAATGAGGTTTGGTGCAGAGTTGTAGCTACCGCCCTTGCTATATTCACGTTCTATGGGAGGTAACGGTGTGATCTCAGCGGTACACAGGGAGGCTAACCCATGTCTTCACCGTCATATTTACCTACATTAAAGGGATTATTTCCGTGTTTTTAATATGCCGAATTGTAAAGTGACTTCTCATAATACAGAGACAGTTCAAACATGTGTGCTATCACGTAGGTTTCTTTGATGATACACACAGACACATTAAAGTGCCATGTTTGTGAATAATGGTGTCGTTAGGCGTGGGGCTCTTCGGTCACTACGTGTCGCCCGAGGTTTTACTAGTTTAGAGGTGGAAGAAGTACTCAGATCTTTTACTTATAAGTACAAGTACAAATACTATGGTCTCAAAAAGAATCCATTATAAGTTAAAGTCTTGTTACAAAATGTTGCATGGGTAAAAGTACACAAATATTAGCTTTAAAATACACTTAAAGTACAAAAAGCTCAATTCTGCACAATGGCCAGAATAATATAAAGTACAGACGTATTTTAAGCTAAGTGTACTTTAGGTATCAAAAGTAATAAGAATGGATCTTCTCACAGTATTATATTATTATGTGTATTATATTATCCAGTTCTTTATACATGTAAGAGCTTTTAAGTAATGTAGTTTGTCAATGTGGAGCTATCTATATACTTGAAATACACAGTAGTCGTTATACAGTACTGCATTATACCATATCAGCAAATGATGTGTTTGTTATGTACAAAGTAAATAGTAACTATGATTGTTAGATTACATTTAGTGTAGTAAAAAGTACAATATTTGCCTTTGTAATGTATTGGAGTAGAAGTAAGTAGCATTACATGGAAATACTCAAGTAAAGAACACACATGTCAAAATATCCACCACTTAGGTAACCAGCTCACTATTTACTCTATTTCCGTCATTTTAACTATAAAATACCCGTACGTTCAGCACTAACTAATCGCTGGATTGTATTTAGATAAGATTTAACGCTTCAGCTCTTAGCGTCGAACAACATAAGATAACATCTCATTCCCTTGTTGGCCAACCTTCTCCTGACCCGGATTGTAAAGCTACCCTCATAAATGCAAAATATACAGTAACTGCAGCAAACCTGTTGTCCACTAATCTACTTTAAATGTTGACACAGGAAAGGCTTCTGTCTCCAAACTGCGTGTAAGTACACCACAAAAGTGTTTGGCT